TTGGCTACATCCATCATTTTAAAAACAAATATTATGAAAAAAAATAAAATAATAAGTGACATTGACACTCATAATTTTGAATAATTTTAAAAAATAAATTTACAAAAATAATAATTTTAAAAAGCAGAAGCACTCTGAAAGGGTGTAATGTCCTTTAAAATATGTCAGGATAATTTTTTAATAATTTTATTTTTAATCATTTCATTGTTAGTTAATTTAGTATATATTATTTTTTATATTATCACTTTAAATATTATAATTAATTTAAATATTAATAAAAATAATTTATAAAATATTGTATTATAATTTTATTTGCTTTTGTAATTTTGTTTTGTAGGCAATTGATTAAAATTAGTTTTGTTTATTTATTATAAATTTAATGTGTAATTAAATTATTATTATTTTAACTTATTTTGTTATCAATATTTTAACTTATTTATTATAAATTTAATGTGTAATACTTTTTTAATTTTTATTTAATTATTTTAACTTATTTTGTTATCAATAGATTAATTATTTAATACAAATAATATTATGATTAATTTTATAATATTAAATGCTCATAATTTATTTTAAAAAAATCATACCCAATTTGAAGCTCTCCAAAAGCTCATGGTTTTGGAATACTTCCACATGGAAGCACTTTGGAACCACAAAAAAAGAAAAAAAAAACCACAAATTTTAAAGATTAAATCTGTTTGAGCTCCTTGAACTCCCACACAATATGTCTTTCTCTCTGTTCCTTCACCTCCAACAAACCCTTTAAAATTATTTATTTTTTAGTCTTTTAAAGTGCTTTTTAAGGAAAGCATTTCAGAAGATCTAAGATTTTGAAGCACTTTTTTTATAAACGCTCCAGTATATGTCCATCTTATTTTCTTTTGGAGCTTTTTCTTTTTTAATAAGTGCTTCAATATGGGCTCTTTGATAAGTGTTTTTTTATAATAGTGATGCTTTTTTTTTCTGTAAGTTTTTTTTCATGAATATCTAAGCATTCAACTCTTGAGTCTTGCATGCTTACATTAGAAGTGCGGTGAGTTTATAGAGTACTTACTAGGACTAACAAGGTAGACCATACAACTTAGAGTGTTTATGAACCTGCAAAATATTCACCAATAATGCAAGAACAAGATTTGAACTCGTGTTCTTTCAAAATATAAATGCCTCATTATATTGAACCAAAACTTTGGTTGGCTTTTATTTTCATTTCGCATACATTATTATAACCCCGTTCCATATACCATAATATTATTGGGCAATATGATGAAAAGTTAACTTATAGCTACAAATAACCCTTTTCTTTGCAGCATGCAATTGCATCTGTCAACATTTCTTCAAGTCCATACTTGAACTCAAATCCTGCATCCATGAGCTTCTTTGATGACAGATCAGGAAATTTCAGGTCATTCCTTTCTTTCAAAGAACTATATAAATTTAAAAGAAGTAATCAGAATAATGGTTAAAAGACTTTACCAAAAAAGAATAATGGTTAAAAGATCAAACATCAGCCATTGATCACTTCAACAAAATTTTCATGTTTGTAAAACAACATGAAGAAGGACAAGCGAACTCACTCTATGGTTGGTACATGAAATTCAGGATATTTAACAGATATAACTTCAAGCACCTTCTCAAGAGTTGCAAAGCATGCTGAACAGTTATATCTTTCTTTTGGATTGGGATGTTCAAGCAGAAATATTTGTGCTCTTGCCACGTCATCCACATGCACCATAGGTGTTTGCAGATAGCCAATTGGGTCCTTGTCACCTGAATCATTTTCATAAACAAAAAAAAAAAACATAAATTTTAAGGCACGACTAATTAAGTGCCCGCACACCCACGTAACCAATATCCATATTAATAACATACGTCATAAATAAAAGCAAAAGCTGCAAACCAACGAATGTCAGTCCAGTTAGCAACAATTTGACTTATAATTTACAAAGTCATAAATTCAAATCTTATTACCAATGTGGGGACATTATTTATAAGCAATTTGTAATATATGTACCTTTAAAAGTGTATTTTGATACCAGAGGCATACCCTTAACTCTAGTAAGTTTTTGAAAACTAATTCCCATGAACTTTTTTCTAAACAGAAAGCAAAAGCTGCTCTATTTGTATGCATTAGTTATGTATAATTGTGCTCCTTCTAGCTAGTACTATGAATAAATGCTAGATCTTGTGATTAAAATGACAAGAACAGGGTATATATAACTCATACCAAATGCAAAGTAGAATGAAGAAAGAATAGATCCAGGAAGGTTTGGACAAATGAAGGGTCCAACAACAAAAGTTGGAATCAGAGTCACAACATCTAATCCATTTTGTTCTCCAAATTCAAGCACTGCCTTCTCAGTCAACGTCTTAGAAATTGCATAAGTCCATAATCCAAATGTCTTGGAAGTTCTAAGATAATCTACATCACTCCATGAGCTCTCATCCTTCACTTCATCTTCTTTGCCATTGAAGGAATTAGCTGAGGCACTAGAAGTATAAATAACTCTCTTCACAGTTTTTGAAGCAACACATGCCTTCAAAATACCCAATGCTCCATCAACGGATCTTTTAGTCACAATCTCCTCAGGTTCGTTCTTCTCAAAATCCATTGGGCTTGCCACGTGGAATACTCCAATACACCCTTCAATGGCATCTTTGAAACTTTCTGCATTGTTAAGATCTGCATTTAGAATTTGTAGCTTTTGAGATGCTCCTGGTAGATTAGTGAGAAAGCTCAAATCTTTCTTCTGCTCTGCAATGGAAAAGAACAAAAGAGACAATCTTAAAATGGCCAAATCTTTGGGTATCATTTTGAAAGGGGATGATTCAATGCTAGTTCAAGATGTAAGTAAACCTAAGATGATATTGAAAAATCCCCTCATCAAGTAATAAATTCAGGTTTAATAATTAATATAAAATAAAGAGAAATGATTAATAAATTTAAGTTTTAAAGTCTTAAGTTAAATTGTGTCGTCTTTTTATTATTCTTATCTGTTTGTCATCTCAATTTCCTCCTATTTCCTGTCCCCATTCCTAAGATTTAACTTTTTGCTTTTGAATTTTTCTCTCAGGATTAATTTCTTGAGATTCGTATTCATATAACAAAAATAAAAAATTCCAAACAAATATTGATATCCAAGGGGTTAAAATGAATTATAGCAACACTGTCAAATCCTACAAAGACCCTTGAATACACTAATTATTGTTGAATGTACATAGGCATTAAAAACATGTTAAGGTAAAGTGAATTAAAAGGCTTAATTATCTACTTACGTACAGAGTTTTTTTTTTCTTTGGAAAACATATCAATCAAGAATTATTAGAAAAAATTTATATTAATTAAGGATTACTTATTATTAAAACCTGAATGAATACTTATCAATTTATGTTAATTTTTTTATTAATAAATACCTATTTAGGTTTTAACAATTCATTTTAAATTAATAAAAAAATTATATTTTTTCATTTAAATTTTGATAATAATTAATTCTTTACTAATATAAATTTTCTCCCGTGATTTTTTTATTGTTATTTTTCCTTTTTTTTGGGTCAGCCGTCGGAGAGAGAGAGAGATACTTCCCAAATCAATCAAATATTAATTAAATTAAATATTCACCACGGCTATACTCGAGAGATATTCCAACACTAACAGTTGATATATATATATATATATATATGATTTGCTTGAAATATATATACATATATATATATATATATAAGCATAATAATAGATCAGAGTACCAGGGAGTACCAGGGTGAGGCCTAACGGTGGCGTTGACAGAGTAACCAGCCTGAAGAAGTCTCTTGATGATCCAAGAACCAATAAAGCCAGTACCGCCTGTAACACATACTCTTCCTTTTCCCTCTTCCATTCGGAGAATAAGAGGAAGACACACTCGAATATTGCAAAAGGTTCTCAATTTGAGAACAGAAACGGAAGAGAGTGATGAATAGTCTATGTTCCTCGTCTTTTATGGTACAAACGGTCCATTGTAATTACTAATTAGCCGTCTCCTGCGCCATCACATCACATGATTGCTTATCCAAAAGTACAAATTAAATTTGAGTTGTTTAATTTTAACATTAAAATTTTATAAATTGATTATTTAAATTTATTTTGAACCCTATATATTTAAAATTTTAAATTAATAATTTTTTAAAATATTTTTAAAAGAAAAGTACCAATCAAAATATTACCTTTATTTTTAATATTATATTTATTAAAATAAAAAATTAATGTTACATCTAAACCGTACATAATACATTTAAATGAATCATTTATAAAAATTATAAAAATATTAAACTTAATTTCGATCATCTCACTTAAAGTTGCACGGTTTCAATTGATGAAAAATTATTTGTTAAAAAATTTTAAATTTTATTTAAATAAATATAAAATTAAAATTAAAAAATCTTAAATTTAAATTATTTAAATTAAATTTTAAATGATCCAAATTTCATCCTTATATATAAAAAAGTCTTTTAAAAAAATTATTCTCAGATATAAAAAATTGTTAGTATTTTTTAATAAATAAATTATTATATTTTTATTAAATTAAAAAGAGAAAAAATAAGTATTTTCATGAATTTATTTTCAAAAAAGAAATTTATTTTTTTATTTACAATAATCAGAAGTAAAATTGAAATGTTGTTGTGTTTTTTAATTAGATAATTAATTTTTATTGATTCACATAATTCAATTAAGAATATCTTATATATAGAGATAGAAAGAGTATCATATCAAGTAAGCCATTAAATTAATATGTTAATTGGTTTAATTATAGTTACAAATTTAATCATCATTCCTTGAATCACGACTTTAAATGATTAAGCCGCAAGTTTGATTTTCAGTACTTTAAAAAATTATTTTATTTGAATTGAATTTTTTGTTGGTGGTACACTCCTTTAATATCTAACATTAATTCCTTGGACGTGGACGATGTGTGTGTGTGTGAGCAAAGATATTTTCTGCAACCTTCAATTGCTTCCACAAACATTAATTCTTCGGAACCCATCCTTGAACTCAAATTCAGCATCAATGAGATTCTTTTATGACAGATCTGAAAATTTGGGACCTTTCATTTTTAATAGATAAAAAGAACATATAGTGGAAAATTTCCTTATTTGTGGTACACTTCACATAGGTCACATAATTGTTTGGATATACATGAAACATATATATGATAAAAACATTTATAAATAACCATTTTCTTTGCAGCTTTCAATTGAATCAACAATTATTTCCTCAACCCCGTACTTGAACTCAAACCCAGCGTCCATGAGCTTCTTTGATGATGGAGATGAAAATTTGGGACCTTTCATCTCCTTCAAATATCTAATTAACATTAAAAAGGAAAAAAGATCAGAGTCAAAAAATTGTTATATCTATAAGAGAGTTATCATTTAATCAAATTTTCATATGGATAAACAATATGAAGATGAAGAGAACTTACTCTCTGGTTGGTATTTGAAATTCTGGATATTTGACAGATAGAATTTCATATATGTCTTCAATAGTTACCGAACAAGCTGAACAAATATACCTCCCTTTTGGATTGGGATGTTCAAGCAGAAATATGTGGGCCCTTGCCACGTCATCCACATGCACTACAGGTGTCTGTAAGTAAGCCCCTGAGTCCCCCCCACCTAATTCAATTTACTATAATCATCAGTAATCTTAATATGCTAATCACCAACTTTTTATTTTTATTTTTAAATCTAATCTTATAATCTTCCTATCTATTTGCCCTCTCTTCACTTCCGTTTTCTTTTTTCTTTGAAATTCCAACTTTTCCTAAATTCCAAACAAAATTTTGATCATGAGCAAATAAAAATGATAAAGTAAAACGTAAATAATAATAAAGGGAGAATTCAACTCTACACTGCATTTTATTTTAAGACTCAAGTGTGACAAGCAAAGTTGCATGAATGTATAAAAGTTGGCCAAAAAATAAACTTTCAACCCACAACAGTCTAAGGCTTGTTTAAATAACTTTTAAAAGTACATTCAAATTATATTTAGTATATACTTTTACCAAATTTAATAAATAGTTATATGCCCTAAATGTACTTTTGTTATATTTAAACTAAAATCTAAACAGATACTTAATCATTTTAGGCTTAGTTTTTATGTAACTCACCTTTTATTTTTTAATAATTTTATGTAACTCACTTTTTCTTGATTAAAATTGACTTTCTGTTAAAAAGAAAAAAAAACTTTCAAGAATCGTGTATTTAAAATTTGACATATGGTTGAAGAGAATAAATAAAAGGTTAAAGTATAGTTTTAGTTCTTTAACTTTATATAAAGTTTTAATTTAGTCTTTTAATTTTGCAATATATCTTTCTAGTCATTTAATCCTAGCATTGTTAGTTTCAAATGATTATTTTTTGTATCTATCATTATTATTTTGAAAAAAATTAAACTTAATATGTTAATATTTAAAAATATTTTGTCAATATTTAAAAGTTTAATGTAAAAATTTATTAGGATAAAACTAACAGTATTAAGATTAAAAAATTAAAAAAATACTTTATAAAGTTAAGGGATTAAAATGAAGCGTTATGTAAAGTTAAATGATTAAATATATACTTTAATTGAAATAAAATTGCAGTGAGATGGATTCATAATATTATACTAGAAAATATCTATTACTGATGTGTGTGTAGATAGAGAGAGAGAAATTTCGTGTGTGATGAGATTTTGAGCATTCAACCAAAATCTATAGTCATTTGATTGAAAAGGAAAAGAAAGAAATTAATTATAGGGTTGATGAAAAATAAAATGAACAAAAATCATAATAACTATATCATCTATTAATTTTTGTGAGAGAAGGGCAATCAAATGATAGAGAGATTGACATGAAAAGATTAACATGTATAAGGTCATCAATCTAGATTGTTAGTATTTATGGAATGATCATTATATGAGAGAGACCATTTCCATGATTATATGGTCAACAAAAACATGATTATATTAAAATAAAATTATTAAAAGTATGCTTATATTAGAATGATGATTACTATAGGCAAGGTTATTCTCCCCTAATAATCCTAATGAATAGAAACTAAAGGCATAACCTTGCAAGATTATATTGAAGAAAACCAAAATAAAAAAAAAAATAGTCATCCATATAATGACAAGTAGCCATAAATACTAAAACATACCAAATGCCAAATCCAAGGTAGTGCGATGAGAGCCATGAAGCTTAGGACAGATGAAGGATCCAAGAACATGAGTGGGAAGCAAAGTTACAACTTCTAATCCATTTTGTTCTCCAAATTCAAGCATTGCCTTCTCTGTCAATGTCTTACAAATCGCATAAGACCACCATCCCAATGATGTCTTCAAGCTTCTAAGATATTCTATGTCACTCCAACATTTCTCATCCTTCATCACTTCATCATCATTATCATCATCTTTTTTGCCATCGAAAGAAACAGTAACGCCACTAGAAGTGTAAACAACTCTCTTCACAGTTTTTGAAGCAAGGCATGCCTTTAAAATGCCCAATGCTCCATCAATTGATCTTTTTGTCAATACTTCTTCAGGGTCATCAAGATCCAATGGGGTAGCCACATGGAACACTCCCATGCACCCTTCAATGGCTTCCTTGAAACTATCTGGATTGTTTAGTTCTGCGTTCTTGAATATTTGAAGCTTTTGAGATGCCCCTGGTAGATTTGTGAGGAAGCTCAAATCTACAATGCAAAAGGGGAAATCATAATCAAGTCAAAAAGTTTTAGTACTTAAAGGACTAAATGTTGCATTATTCTTAAAAATAATAGTAACTGAAATTTGTAATTGAATATTTTTCATTCTTTATTTAATTTCTTTGAAAAGAAAACAAAGTAAAAGTGTATAAATTATATATTAGAATTAGAGATTAACACCCTTTAAGTCGTCTTTGACTTAAATTCAACTAAATTTGATGGAAAAAATATCAACAAAGATTGAGTCCAAATGATAAGGATTTAATTCATAACTTACAAAATTGTGAGTTCAAATTCTATTATTAATGTAAAGATTACCTTATTTGTGAACATTTCTTTAAATATTTTTATAAATGCTCTTTGATTTTAGAAACATATTTTAATTTTAGTAAGTCTTTGAGACTCAACTCATCTAAATTTTTGTATCAAAAAAATTAAAGGAGAAAAATTGATGGTACCTGGGTGAGATCTAATGGTTGCATTAACAGAATAACCGTCCTCAAGCAGTCTCTTGATGATCCATGATCCAATAAAGCCAGTACCACCTGTAACACATACTGTTCCTTTTCCCTCTTCCATGTTAATTTAACAATACAAACACAAGCTCTAGCTCTTCCCTTTTGTAGTGTTGATATATATATATATATATATATATATATTAGTCTACTTGAAGCGAGCGAGACAGAACGGTTTCAATTGCAAAGTGATGAATGATTCCTTGGGGCAAGTAGAATACAAGATATGAGTACGAGCCGTCCTGATTAAATATTAATTACTTCATTCATTTATTGTTGGTGATGACCTAATAGAGTCGAATTGTGTTTTGTTTTCTTCGATGTTTTCTTGTGAGTTATTGTGCGAATGAATTATATTTGTACGACGCCTGATGGTGACGCGGCTGATTACCAAACGCCTTTCAATTTTTAAAAATATTCAGGGACAAATTTTCTTTAACTAATCTAGTTATTGATATATTTATATATTTATGTTATGAATATTAAAAGGAAGGTAAATGTCTACCTTTATTGAAGCAAAAAAAGAAAAGACAGAATAGACAAAACGAAAAGGAGGCAGCTGAATTATTGTATATTATATATTGCTCACTCATAACCGGTGTACAATGTTCAGTATTTATAGATAGTTACAACCCATGCAAAAGTAACAGATGTAAAGAAGATTCTAGAATTATATTCAATTTTGCATGTGCTTCTCACGTGACTTTTTTATGCTTGTATGTGAGTAGGAATCATGTGCTTCAAACACCCCCCGTGAGTCAAACTATGAGGGAAGAACAATGACATTCCATTTGAGTGAAGCAAAATGAGATGATGGAAGTGGTTTGGTAAGAATGTTAGCTAACTGATCTATAGAAGTGACATATGAAGCACATTGAGCATTTTAGTAGCCAGCCTTTCACGAACAAAGTGGTAGTCAAGAACTATATGTTAGGCCCGTGAGTGGAAAACAGGATTGGCAACCAATTATGTAGCACCAAGGTTGTCACAATAAAGGAAGGGTGCTTGAGGGAGAAAAACACCAAGTTCATTAAGTAAGTTTTGTAACCAAATTAATTCACTAGTGGTGTAGCAATTGCCTTGTATTTAGCTTCAGTGCTTGATCTAGCAACAGTTGATTGTTTCTTTGAACTCTAAGCAATCAAATTTGGTCAAAAAAAGATAGCAAAAGCACTTGTGGATTGAAGATCATCAATATTACCACCCCAATCAACATCAAAAAATGCAAAAAGTGAGATGGAAGATGATGGATGAAAATGGAGGGCATAATGAGTGGTATCACGTAGGTATCTAAGAATTCTCTTCAGTGTAGTCTAGTAGGCAGTTTTAGGATGATGCACAAATTGGCAAACTCAATTTACAGCAAAGGTGATATTAGGCCTTGTAAAACTGGGATTCTAAAGACTACCAACTATGCTTTGATGAAGAAAAAGGTTAGAAAAATCAAGAAAGATGAAAGTTGGGGGCCATAAGAGTGGAGACAAGATGAGCATTAGCCATGTTGGACTTGTGAAGAATATCCAAGTCGTATTTATGTTGAGACAAAACAAGACTAAAGTTGGAGGACAACATTTAAACACCCAAAAAATCATGCAAAGGATCAAGATCCTTAACAAGAAATGACTTGCCTAAGGCTATGATAAGATGACTAACAATTTCAAGGGAAGAACCAATAATGATGATGTCATCCATATACACCAAAACAAAAATTGTGCAATGAGAATTTTTACAAATAAACAAAGACTAATTAGATTTAGAGACATAAAAAGCTCACTTCCATCAAATGAGAGGCTAAGTGAGCAAACTAGGCATGTGGTGCCTGCTTTAAACTATAGAGTGCTCGATTTAATTTGCAAGACATAATTGAAAATTTTGGGATGAACAAAACCCAGAGGTTGAACCATATAAACATTTTCATCAAGAAATCCATGTAAGAAAGCATTTTGGATATCAATATGTCTTAAGGACTAGCCACGAGATAGTAAGACCTGGTAAGGAAGTTGCTTATACTGCTCAGTTATACCTTTGAGAACACACAAGGGCGTTATGATTGTATTTTTGACATATTTGGTAGGGAGGATTAGACTCTAGTTGAAAGAAAGAGCAAGGAGAGCAACACCTCTATAAAAGTGACCATGGCCTCTGAAGCTTCCTCGGCCACCACAACCACTTGGGATATAAGTAGAACGACCTCCCCTACCTCCACAAAAGGACGATAGGGAGTATTAATAGAAGCCTTCTGAATAGCATTGGCCAAAAGTTAAATGGGAAGTTGGATGGAGTTCTGTCGGTTCAGACGTACTTCATGTATGAGGAGATGATTGAAAATTTCTTTAATATGGAGGAAGTATTGAGTGGTTGAGGAGGTGATCAACCATACTGGTGAAGTCAATGCCCAGAGCTGTAAGAAAATAGGTAATAAATCATCATCAAGTATAGGCTTTCTAGCTAGGGGTGAACAAAACTGAACCAAAACAAAAAATCAAATTGAATCGAATTTTTGTTATTTGATTTCGTATATTTAGTTTTTCAATTCGATTCAATTTTTTAAAAAAAAATATTTCAATTGATCAGTTCGATTCAATTAGTAAGATTTAAAATTGAATAAACTGAACCAATTGAATTATCAAGTATATATATAATTTATTAATTTATAAATTATATTTAGTTTATTAATTATTTATTTTATTTTATTTTATTTTATTTTATTCGTTTTAATTTTATACTTAAATAAAAGTAAATATATAATTTGATAAGTTAAAGCCCTAACCCCTCACTAAAATGAGCTACCATCACTTTACAAGCCCATTTTTATATATAAGCATTGTCCATTTTAGTAGAAAAAAGTAAAAAATTGGCCTAAGTCCAAGCAACTCAAACATGAAGCCCAAATTGAATTAACTAACTAAACCAAAATTTCAAATTTTGATTCAATCCTTGCTTAATTCAATTCATATTTTAGCATTGTTCGGTCAATTGGTTTTACACATTTTGACACCGAACCAACCGAGGTTCAACCCTATTTCCAGTAGCAGCAAGAGAGTTAGCTAAGATAGTGGCTCATCTATGATACTCAGAGATAGTTTATCCTTCCTTTTTAATAGTAGTGATTTGTTGATGGAGATAAACAAGTTTAGCTTGGGTTTGCTAAGGAAATAATATTCCTTACTCATAACTAGTGTATAGCGTTCATTATTTATAGATAGTTACAACCACCACAAAAGTGACAAATGTAAAGAAGATTCTAGAATTCAATTTTTCTTGTGCTGCTCACGTGACTTTTTGATGCCTATATGTGAGTAGGAATTATGTACTTCAACAATCTTCCTCACCTCTTCATATTCATCTTTTCTCATGAAACTCTCACTATCATAAGAGTTAATTACTCTTTATTTGCCTTTATCATTTGTATAATATTTGATGTATAAGACCATGCCCATAAATAGGACATGTTATTTGCATTAAAAGTCACAATAATCTCTAAAAAAATTCTCTCATTCTCTTATCTTTATTTCTTCTCTTAAGATCTTTATTTTCTAGTTGCTTAATTTTATAACACATTAGCAACACAAGAGCACTGGTAATCTAAAGGTTTTGTATCAAGGTTTTTCATTATAAGGTAATTTTTATGTTCATATATGATTTAATTTATTTTCTAACCATTTGATCCTTTTAATCTTGAACATCATCTAACTTTTATCATATTTTTATTATAGTATTTATATGTCAAATCTTTCGAAACTTGAGTTTATGACTCTTGACATTCTTGAAAAAAATTATCTGTCTTGACTACTAGATGCAAATAGTCTTTGAGATATAATTAAATATGGCAATCAAGCATCCAATCAAAATAAGGCCAAGGCCATGATCTTTCTTCATTACCATTTATATGAAGGGTTGAAAATTGAGTATTTGACTATAAAAGACCCTCTTATTTGTTGGAATAATTTAAAAGAAAGGTATGACGACTATTAGAAAACTATAATTTCTTCTAAAAGCTTGCTATGATTGGGTGCATTTATATTTACAAGATTTTAAATCTATGAGTGAATATAATTATGCAATTTTTAGAATTGGTTCTCAACTAAAAGTATGTGGAAAAAAATGTCATTGATGATGATATGTTAGAAAAATCATTCTCTACATTTCATACATCTGATATGTGTAATCTCCTCACTAAATAACCATTGTTAACCAAATATCGAAGTAATTATGGGACTAAACTCACAAGGATTACCAAGTTTTCACGTTTAATGAATGAGAGACAAGTTTCAAACTATTTACCAAAGGATCCCAAGACTTTAACATTTAAAACTCTCCCAAACATTTTTGTTTATTAAGCTCAAAATAGGGTTTTCAAAGTATGGCGGAAGCTTAGAAATTAAATAGAGCCCAAAATACTTATTTTAAAACTCAAATATATAATTTATGCAAAAAATAGGACATGTGCTACAGCTAAGTGCACATGCACCACGGCATCCCTCACCTTTATGCCATGTGCTGCAGCTTGAGGCGCCACGCGCCATGACACATTGCATGGAATATGATAGAAAATAGTTGTTATCATATGACAGCACTAGAAATAAACTTACGACATGTCTCAAATCTTCGTCCTATGTCTAATTGAGATGATTTTGGTGTTTATACGGAGCTTTCTCCTAACTCTAGCTAATGACACAAGTTTGGTCAAATTCATTTTTATAAAGAGTAGGACACTCAAATCCATTTTCACCACTTTCTTACAAAAACTCACAATAATGGTGTCCAAACTTGCAAACAAGTGCTAAAAGCATGCACCAACTACTCAACCATACTCATTAGACCCTAAAGGACTCGTGCAATACACCATACTCATACAAATGCACTTATGTCAAATTTTCACCACCTAGCTCCAAATTTCATAAAACACAAGGGGAAGGAATTTCTTGCACAAAACAATCATTTTAATTCCAAACCAATCAAAATACATATTTTCCTACTTGCACAACTATGTTGGCCCTATACAAAGGTTTACAACTAAAACTCATTAACCCAAGTTGCAAAATACACAAGTTGTACACTATAATAATACAAATAGTTTAAAATAATCAT